TCCTGACGAATGTTTTCACCAGTCTTGAGATTTGGTTTTCATCCACGATTAAGTGTTTGTCTTTTCTATAGCTTTCGCAATAGCACAAAAGGGTTCTGGGATATTCAGGGCTTTACTTACTTCTGCTCGGGCTAGTGAAGCTGCCTCTTTGTTGCCCTTATACCCCGTATATTTGCTAGTAACAGTCTTTTCTGACTGCTCATTTCATTCAGGGTTTCCAACAAGTCCCAGACAAGTTTTGAATTAACTTGCATTGAGTTACCACCTGGCTATCCGAGTGAAATGGTTTACCTATAAACTTTCTCCTTATCAATTATTTTACACAATGATGTATTGCGACAATTTCTGCCTAAAACACCGTCAAGTATTCACCTCAGATCAGTGAGATTCTTGTCTTTCGCTTGGCCCCATTGAATGAGCAGTGCAAGAAAACAATGGCATGTTATAATATCAGTGGTCTGTCACTGCTGTCAGGTGAATGGGTGGAAATGGTTGCATAATAGTCTTCATTTTCTTACAGCATTTTAAGAATATCTCAAGGTTCTGTAATTTCGATATAATAACCAAGTGAAGCTAATGGAGTAGGTATAGTACACCGAATGAAAAGTGCAAATGAAGCTAATGATGATATATGTATTATGAAGTGCTGAGTAGAGAGTATAATTATATTATATTTATTATAATAATAAATGATGTTTATCTTCCACCTATACTTCCAGTGTTTGATGACTATTATACTTTCAACTCCCCCTAGGTCCTATTCATCTTGGCGTACTGAGTATGACGTCTATTATATACTATCAATTATCTTAACGCCATCGCCGAACGTTAACAGATAATCTTGATTTTAGGCCTAGCAGACCTTTTTATGAGGAATGACTTTTTTCCTAAAACTGACAATAAAAAAGTTTTACAACTTTTTCATCAGACGTACTGTATACTTTGCTCCACTCTACTCCACTACATTCTCAAAAAATTGGGGTGTGTTTATTGTTTAGCAGTTTCTCGTAGGCGAATATATGGACCGATTTTCTTCAATGGTGAAATCAGGTACAGACAAGTGATCATTCATCAATCAACTTGATGATATGAAGAAATTCGAGTTGGCTATTTTCAGCAAGATGGCGCCACTGCCCACACCACACGTGCAAATTTAGAAAATTTACAAGAACTTTATGACAACCGTGTGATAAGTCGAGGAGTTAATCCTTTTCCAACACGTTCTCCAGATTTGACGCCTTTGAATTTCTGCCTTTTTCGATATTTGAAAGACGAACTTTTCAAGAGAGACAATAATAACCTTGAAGAGCTGCAAGCCTCAATAACACATTGCTGCCAAAATATTGGCCCGGAAATGCTGATCGAGGAACAATTTCGACAACAAACGGCGAAGTTTTAAAATGCTTGGAGAACATTTGATGTAGGTTAATGAAATAAACCGTTATTTATTACTTCTTAAATAAATATTTTTGATATAGTAGAGTGCCAATCGAATCCTATCGTTCACCCCGTGAGAAATCGGAGGTAAAAAGCTGTGACATGGCTAGAATTGTTACCTACCATCTCCAGATCATAGATCCACTTGTCGTCAAAAAATCGTCCTGTGCGTTTGGGGGGTAGGGGGTAATTTATAAAAAAATATGGATTTTTTTTTTATTCGTGGAAAATATTTATGCGTTTCAGAACTTCCACCCTGTTGAATCTTGATTTCGTGTGACAAGTAGAACGAATTATAGAAAATTTCGAAATTTACAAATTACATTACGATATATGAGAGAATCATATTTCAAACGCCTATAACTCAAAACTTGTAAATTCTTGTTAAATTGTTTTTCATATACCTCGCATTATCTCAGTAACTACAACGTTTATCAAAAAAATACTTCAGATAATGTCAATGCGCCTTCTTCTGTAATTTCACTTTGTTCTTCATATGTGTATGAATCAGAAGAGTTTTTGTCACTTTCGGAATCACAAATTACGACTCATCAGAACGTTTTGATTCATTTGATAATTTCCATTTCCTTGTCGTAGTGCTTTCTGATTTCTTCGATAAATTCATTTTACTTGATTTTTCGAGATTTTCTCTCCTCGTTTCTCTGGACGTTTCGGGAACGAATCTACTCCCGTTCTCAACATAAAAATGCGAAACATTTTTCTTTGGAAGTTGCATTTTCATGTTGAGAACGGGAGCAGATTCGTTGCCGAAACGTCCAAAGAAACGAGGAGAGAAAATACCAAAAAATCAAGTAAAATGAATGTTTCATACCTTCTCGATTAACCTACAGACAGTAATCTTCGATTAAGATTTTCCTACCAGTTTTGCCACCAAGTTCGGCATATTCTTTATATAAACAGTTGAAAGTATACCCTTTTTCATTAGAAAATATTCTTTGTCATGTGTGGTATGACAACTTTATTCTCACTCAGTGATCCCCTATAATGTTTCCAATTCGATACAAAGCATTGGTTATGATACTAGACTTCCATGGCAATAAACAATGTTGGTAGTCAATACTAGGTCAAAACTTGACTCTTATTTGAACGTTTTTGGTAGAAAATTCTTTTAGACACATCAAAAATACCTTCACATCAATTTCACTATAGAAAGCGTTTCATTCCTGACATTATTGTCTCCAGTTTTCAATATTCCTGTGCCAGAAGATCGATTGACCTTCATTTTCATTGAAAATATCATCAATTCTCTGAAGTTCCATATCGATTTGCCTCGCATAGTTTTTTCCGAGGTTTTTTCTTATATTCATACAACTTTCAAATTCAAAATTTCGATAATTTTGTACAACGAAGGAGTTGACCAGCTTTTCCACAAATGAAACATTTTCTCGATGATTCTGTACTCTGCTGGAAAGGAATCTTCAACTTCAAGACATATTCAAGATCAGAGATAACTCCCCTGACTTTGTATGCATCACAGATATGACCCAGATACACAAATTTTTTTGAGATATTTATCAAGATATGAGAGATATTCCAGATTATGAACAGCTCAAAAATATGGATGTCAAGGCTTACAAGGATATAATACCAAAAAAACTTTTTTTAAATTAGTTGCTTTATACACGATAAAGTTGATTCAAAGGTGTTGAGTATCTGATGTCAAGGTATAATACTCGCTAATTCGAAATTCAATAAACTCACACCGAAACACGTTGGTTTGGGAATACTGATTCATCAAGAGACATGATCGAAAAAAATGATCGTAGCTTTGTGTTCTTGTGGACGCTGTATCGTATTTACGTGTATAATTATACAACTTCGTAATTCGATAGGTATCAAATAATTTTTTTTTCAAGTTTCCACAAGGATATTTTATTTATATTTCAATATTATATGCATCATGTTCTGTTTCAATATTTGTCAATTTGTTTATAAAAGAGATGGTTGAACTTTTTACTCTGCTGATGGATAATAAATGTACCTTCGAGATAGAATAATTCATAAAATAAATGGAGGGCACTTTCAATCAAACAGCAAGTTAAAATAAATTTCTGTTAACTTGGAAAATAGCGATCAATTCCATTTCTCCCGTGAATTCCAAGATCTTACTATTCTGTGTTCTTAAACACTCAGTAATTCATATTTACGGTGATTGTACTAGGACGGCTGCGGGCGTCGCGGGGAGAATCGGGGTATGAAAGCGGCGAGTCGCCGTCCTTCGTACTACCTACATTGTATTATGATTTTCCCAATATCTTCCTTATTTATGCTTCGATTTTCAAAATCGAAGAACCATTCGCATCTTGAATCATAGGCGCATCGACATTATTTCAAGTGTTTTTTTGATAAACGTTATAGTTACTGAGATAATGCGAGGTATATGAAAAGCAATTTAACGAAAATTTACAAGTTTCGAGTTATAGCCGTTTGAAATATGATTTTCTCATATATCGTAATGTAATTGGAGAATTTCAAAATTTTCTATAATTTGTTCTACTTGTCACACGAAATCAAGATTCGACAGGGTGGAAGTTCTGGAACCCATCAATATTTTCCAGGAATAAAAAAAAATCCATATTTTTTTATAAATTACCCCCTACCCCCCAAACGCACAGGACGATTTTTTGACGACAAGTGGATCCATGATCTGGAGATGGTAGGTAACAATTCTAGCCATGTCACAGCTTTTTACCTCCGATTTCCCACCAACTTTTGATCTAAGCGACTTACGGTTCGTTTGGCACTCTACTAATATGTTTACTTCTTAAATAAATATTTTTGGTATGTTCCATTATTTTTCAAACTCCAATATTGGACTCTCCTTTCTTTGAGATACATTTCCGTAGTGTATGCAAAACGTAATGTAGCCATCTTAGCAAAACGATATAAAAAAAAGATCCTGTCGTTTTGATCGTTAAATGTTGTTAACAGCATTAGTAGAAAGCGGCAAACGGAAAAAAATGTCAACAGCCACTAAAAGATGGTCGTTTTGATCGTTAAATGTTGTTAACAGCATTAGTAGAAAGCGGCAAATGGAAAAAAATTTCAACAGCCACTAAAAGATGTTAGGATCATTTATAGACCCTCTATTTCATAACATACGCATGCCCCTTGTCACAATATCTTATCTGTGAAATGAGGTCGTCATATAGCACAGAATTTTCCTACAGAAAATGATTCAGATTATGCTGAATGTTTTGTGTTCAATAAAGAATGGTCCATTTTATGAGTTAAACTGGCCCAAGTCATACGGACTTAAGATTGCATAGGAAATGTAAATTCCTTAAGTAAATGAAGGGATATGAGTACAACAGATCGGGATAGTCATCAACGTTATTTTTGTATGCTCCTCTTCGCGATCGAGATAAACCAAAACCTGATCATCAAGTGACTGCCTTCAGGTGGGGCGATGAACTATATTTTCTATCGCCAATGGTAGAAAAAAAGCAAAAGGAAGAAATTGAATAACTTTTGCCAAATGGGTGAACCAAGGGCATACGGGTGAAAATAAAACTAATGAAATGTTTTATTCTTTTTTTATTAAACAAAGAAGTCAATTATTCATTTTCTTGGCTACGTAGTCGTGCATGGCCATTGGTAACCCTAATGCTCAACTGCTGTGCTCTCTCAACGATCTCCTTGCGTTTCTTCGATGACACTCCATGCGCGATTTCTGCACAGTATTTGCGGTTTTGCATGAGAAGGACTTCGAGTTCCTTGAAAACCGAAAAGGCAAATGTCAATAAAGCGGTATCGTGTAAATTAGCTGATGATATAAGGTAGAAAGAATGCTCAGTAAGTTTTGGTCGACATAATATGTTCAGGCGCAAATTACCATAAACATCATGGCTATGGAATTATTGCAATTCTCGAGTACATTTTCATGAGAAATTACAGGAATAATTATTAACAGCCTGCTACTAAGGCGTAGAACAGACATGCTAGATTTTTTTGTTAGTTTCGAAAAATTAGTGCTAATTTTGAGTTATAATTAATTTCGAGTTATAATTAACTGCCCCTATCCTCCCTAGGAACGCACGATGTGCAAGCAATATCTCCGTCATTTTCTGCCTCAAAGATTCCAGATCCTCTTGAAAAATTCCGAAACTCGGTGGTTTCAGAAGAATTTTGGAATTGAATGAATAGGATGAAATCATGAACTCACATCAATAATGCAATGATTACTGATGTATGTTCGTCAAATGTATTGATAAAGTATTTCTGGAATTCACATGTGCCTCCTCCAAATAATGATGGACTGTCCTGGAGTCGCAATTTTTGTCCTCCTTTGGTATAGCGTTGAATTTTTAATTATCTGGTAATATTTCAACTTTGATCACCTTAGAAATAAAATGAGTACGTCTCTGAATAATGGATTTTCATTCTATGTAATTGTATGAGACTCCTGAAATCCATGGATCTGCTTCGCTAAAATTCTCTGGAGAATTTATTAGCAGTATGATGATGTAAGGAAAGTTTTGATTTTCCAACACTCTTTATTTTCTACCATAAATAGTGGATAAATCACTGAAGTCACACATTTGTTTTCATTCAGATCGTGACCAATAATATAATTCTGAACTCAGTTATATCACTCAGTATAATTAATCTTTTCTGAAGATGAAATCAGTATGTCCATGTTGTGATGTCAAGTCATCATCTTTTTTCTCTATTTGACGGAGATATCGCTTGTATAGGGAATCTAGAGACACCCTGTACTAATTTCGAATTCAAACTCGAAATTATGGATAACTTCGAAAAAAAAATACTTCAAATTCTTTTTTGTGAAATAATGATGGACTTCCAACATGAACAATAATATTTATGAGTCACAGATACATTTGAAATACTAAAACATATGTACTGGTTGTTTCCTAACGAATTTGACAAAGTGCGAATTTAAAACGGAAATGTAAACGTTTTTTTTTTGTTCGAATGTAGCTTATTTTTCAAAATAATATGTGTTGGAATTTTGTTTTCAAATCCGTTTTCTATTTCAATTCCAGACATGCTTCACCCAATTTCGGATGTTGGATAACACTATATAATTATAAGGCTAATTTAGCCATTGATAGAAAAACAATTTGTCCAGTGGCACACAGAGGCAAACCTCAACTAATTTTATTGAGAAAAAAATAAAGGCTCACGTAATTTCAATATTTTATTCTAATTATATCTTTATCTGTTTCCGTACCACGCTTAGTTTTCAAAATATAAAATATGTTTATGTCCATGGATCACACAGAATGGTAAAAAGGTTTTTTGAATGGTGCTTTGCTTTCACAATAGAGGCTGTTTGAAAACGAAATGTAAACAAAATTAGAACACCTTGTATTTTGAAACCTAAGCAACATTCGAAAAAAAAAAACTTCTACATTTTGTCTTGAAATTACGTGAACTCCTTTCATTTTCCAAGAGAGATTAGAAAATACCCTGTATAAAATGTGAAATTTCCTGAATTCCAAAGAAAGTAAAATATGCAGAAAGGGAAAGTGAGTATGATTCAACATTATTTTTGACCAACATCAATACAATTCTGTCTCAAAAAATTGAAATGCTATTCTTTGATGAAATGAAAAATGAATTTTATTTGTCTCTTGGAGCAAACAAAAGGAAACGCCTAGCAATCTTTCCAAATAATATTTCTTCAATTGTTTACTTATCCACAACTTTACGAGAGCATCGAATTCAACGGACGCTTTTTACAAAACCTATGTACAGGGTGATTCACCATAAATGTCCCCCCCTCTAGCTCAGTTATTTTTGAACCGATTTCAAGATTTGAAATATCATCTCAAATGATTTTCGATAAAGTTTTTTTCTGCTACATCAGAAGATACAGGGTGCTCGGAACAAACGATCTACAGGGTACTATTCGATTTTTTTAAATGAAACACCCTATTTTTCATTGTAGTTTTAGATTCTCCCTGAAGAGCTAATTTGTTCGATGTATCACACTCGGGGTCAAGCGGGAATGATTACACAGATATAGGGTGTTCAAAATCGAGATTTTTCAACTTCAGGTTTTTTTTGTGACGAAACTATTCATTATCGGTCAAAACGGCTTTCGTGTTCGTGTCCTAACTTTTGATTTACTATACTGACATTCAATAATTGGAACAGATACAGGGTGATCAGAATTCTTAATCTTGAATCACCCTGTAAATGGTCCAATTAAATGTCACTAGATAGTAAATCAAAAGTTGAGATAGGGACATGAAAACCGTTTCGACCAATGATGAATAGTTTCGACAGAAAAAAATCCTAAAGTTTGAAAAATCTCGACTCTGAACACCCTATATCTCTGTAATCATTCCCGCTAGACCCCCAAGTGTGATGTATTGATGAAATCAGCTCTTCAGGAAGAATCTAAAAATACAATGAAATTCAGGGTGTTACATTCGAAAAAATCAGGTAATACTCTGTAGATCGATTGTTCCGAGCACCCTGTATTTTGTGATGCAACGGGAAAAAATTTCTGAAAAATTATCATGGTACCTTCCCTTTTTATTTTAGAATCATGTCTGTATGTGTTTAATAAAAAAGACGATTTTAATACTAATAGTTGGAGTTAATACTAGACATAAACATGATTTTTACATCCCTTTTAGTAAGATGAATATAACTGGACAGTCGCCTAATATCATGGCACTCAGATTTTATAACGCTCTACCTGCCGAAATTAAACAATGTAGGACATTAACTTCTTTCAAAGTATCCTCGAAACAAATATTACAAACAAAATGTTATTATTCCGTGGAAGAGTATCTTTCCCAAAAATTTTAATAATAGCTACATGTGTTTATGTATGCTATCTCTTCAATCACACTTATGTGTTATTGACTATTCCTATACAATTTTGTAATTGTCTACTGGAAAATCTAATAAATGAAATGGCTAAAAATGAATTTATTCACTACTTTATGAAAGCACTTCATCTCTAGTATGAGACCTTCTTTTCCTTAGTTTCCAAAATATGTAGTATGTTAATGTTTCCTTTTTTCAACTCAGTTAGCTTATAATATTGAAATACCAATTAAATTTTGTTTGGAGTGGAAACAAAAAAAAATGCTGTGAAAACACAACCATTTTTTTGACATTTCAGAAAGTCATCTGTTTGCGTTAATCTCTGGTTTCCAAGGAATTTCCAAGGTATTCTATTTACTTCTAATGCATTATACCAGTCATTTTCAACCAATGAGATGCTTCATTTCAACATTGTTACTATGGTAACCAGCAATTTTGCTGTAAATTCTTCATCAACATGAGCATGTAGACGTAAAATTAGTGAGTGAAAATTTTCGGTAAAATTGATGAGTGAAAATTTTCTGCCACATGACAGCTATCATAAAATTATTATTAAACAATATTGAAAAAATATAGACAATATTTTCAATTTCCTGGAAACCTAGTAGAAAAATTATTTGAAGTCTCATATTTTTATATAATAATGTATCTGATACTATAAATTTCATTTTACTAGGGTACAGGAAGAGTAAATATTTACTCAATGTTTTCTTTTCAAATATAATTGCAGTATGTTCTTTCTTACCAAATCCCCCATGCATGAATAAATTACAGGAAATTTGTTTCCTATATACCTTCATTTTCAATTCATTCAATTCAATATTGTAAGCTAGTTTAGTGAAAAACAGCAAAGCTTATTTCATAAGAAGGAAACAATAATAATTCTCCTAACAAGAAATGAGATTATTCTTCATCATAAACAAAAAATCACATTTTACCCAACTCTTTCAATTAGTTTTGTTCATTTTGCCCACTTTATTCAATCAAGTATGTCCATTTCTTCTGTTTTGTCAAGAGACAGGACAAAATGACCACCATGGCTAATCACTTCAAACAACTGATATACAACAAAAATCCTTGAAGAAGATAATTGTGTATTGATGTAAAGTATGTAAATTTTGAAATTCCCGAATCTTGAAGCTTTCATGTTCATGTCAAAAATATTATTCTGAAATATAAGTGTCCTTTTTTAAAAATGGGTAAAACTGCATTTATCATGTGATGGTTTTTTTTTGGTACTTAGGTATGTATTTTTGTCTGAAAAACAGGAATTTGATAATAAAAATATGAACAAAGCCCCAATTTAAAGATATTTCAAGAAAAAGTTCGAAATTTCACCTTCTATCTCCCCTTGTGTTAGATGCATTTACAGCTACTTGCTCTTCTTATTTTGTCATTGGACACTTTAAATACTCATGATGTACTTCAATGACACATTTCTATATAGAAAATTCAACAGGAAATATGATTTTTATGGCAAGTTTTCAATATTTAGTGAACAAGCATACCAGATGATGGTCATTTAATCAATAGTCAATCCAGATACAAGATGTCAAATGTCAATAGATTGCTTTAAATATCTTCTTCTTTTCACTAAATATGAATAAATCTCAAGAATCATATTTCTAGTTCTCATTCAATAGAAAAAAAAATGTATCATACATTGTGATATGATGATGAAAAAAGAAGGGCAAATTGTTCTAAATGCCATCCAGAAGGCAGGTGGAAAAGAAAGTGAAATTTGTAACTTTATAGTCAAATATCTAAATAAATGATGGTTTGTCCACATTTTCATTATCAAATTCCTGTTTTTCAAACAAAAACTTAAGTACCAACAAAAATTCCAAAAAAAAAACCATAACATGATAAAAGCAGTTTTAACAAAAAATGTTACATTTCTGGAGTCACCCTATATATGGATATCAATTATTACCATGTTCAATGAGTAAAAGTAGTTTCTTTGGGTTTTTTTATGTTCTGGTTCCCACAAAAAGGGATATCCTGGAGGTTATATGCCTTGGGGAACTTACTTGAATACAATTTAGATAATTATGAACTAGATTTTTTGTTTAATTAAAAATATCTAAAGAATTATACTCTCCAGTAAATATGCACTATCACTACTGCAAATTTTACAAAAAAACTCATTCAATCTGAGTTTGTATATATATGAATATACAATAATCATAAAACTACCATACACAAAGGACTATCATGAATATGGGATTCTCTTTAAATTATTGCAGAGGACAGACACTCCTACTTTGTTTTAGTGATCAGAGGAACCCCAAAGCTATCCAGGACAGATTTCTATATTTTATCAAGTAATTATTGTATATAGTACACTTCAATTCATTTTGAACTCACCCTAACATTGTGTACTAAAACTTTACGGAATCCAGTAGGTAACATATGACGAGTTTTTGCATTTGATCCATAACCAATATTTGGCATCAAAAACTGACCCTTGAAGCGCCTCCTCACTCTGTTGTCAATACCTTTTGGTTTACGCCAGTTACGCTGAAAATGTAAATAGGAACCGTTATAGAAACTAGAAAAATCACTGATGAATTGATAGCAGCACAATATAAATTTGAACCAGTTTTATTCGTTACCTTTAGTTTACCATACCTATCAGACTGATGTCTGATGAACTTTTTAGTCCTCTTTTTTATGATATCAGGCCTGTAAACAGGTCTGATGGCCATGGTTGTTCTGAAATGAAATAAAAACAATTACTGGCTGGGAAAAATTAAAAATATATTCACTTATTTTGAGATCATGATTATTGAAACCGATAATTATTTTCGTAAACAGGAAAGAGTAAAAGATTACTTGAAAAAATATAAATTAACCTACGTGAGAAGTGTTCTGATTCAAAACACGAAAAGAAGAAATAAAAAATTCTAATTTCTTTTCATCCAACTTCTAACCTCAACTGTCAAGTTGTCAAAGACTGTCAAGGCAGTGCAGTAGTCTAGTACTGTAAAATAGCAGAAAATTCATCCTTTCAGCAAGAATAATATATGATTGACTTGTCCTGTATATCGATAGAGAGAGGCAAACATTATGAAAACAATCAAGTAATTTAAATGCTGAAAATGCAGGTTTATGGTTAACGAACGACGGACGTGTATAAGATTTTTTCGAGAAGATACAAAGAACGAGTGCCTGCAGACAGTTTCAGCACGGTACATCCAATATTCTGACTTTTAACGGACGGCTGTGCACCACAAGCGTCTATAAACACCGAAGGCTCTCCGCATCCGATGATGTCCGATCACCTTCGGATCATTCGCAGCTGCCTTTCGCGCGCGTTTGATTTTCACCCAGCTACTTCTTATTATTTGTGGTTATTGTGTGTATGAAAGGATTTTGGCATAGGTCGCGTGCACGAAGACCGACCCTGGAGGCAAAATATTGAAACACAACCTCATTCTTCTGTGAATTATTGAAACACAACCTCACTCTTCTGTGAATTATTGGAACACAACCTCACTTTTTCATTTGTTCACAGAGGAATCCAAAGGTTGAAATAGTTTTTCACAATATTTTGGCATACGAATCGTGTTTCTTGCATTATTCATTAATTCAAGCATGCCTTCGCATTGTGCTGTTGTACAATGCACAAAAAATGCAGCAAGAGACTAGGGAATATGATTTTTCAGGTATATAGTAATCTCACATAGTTAGCATTATGAAATGTTGTCATTCCTTATTAAAATTCCTTCTGCCTTCTGCCACTTCTGCAATACAAGCTAATGCTGCTAATAGATTGAAAATGTCTACAACACACACGATCGTCAGCATGTCAGACCAGTCCTACCGATTGATTGCATGAATCCAATCTTCTTGCATTATTCTAGAAATTTTAGGTATATTTCTATTAGCTGATCCTATTGCAGAAGGAATTCCGATGAGAAATCAGAGAAATAACCAAATTTCAAAAATGAAAACTATGTGAGTGACTATAGTAGGTACTTACTTTTGAATCATAATGTACCATCCGGATTTTTTCATCTTCCGCTGCAGTTTTTGTGCATTTTACAACAGCACAATGTGATGGCATTAGCGAATTGATGAATAGTGAAAAAATACGATTCATATGCCAAAATAATTGTGGAAAACTATTTCGATCACTTGTAAACAAATATGTTTTGCCTTCAGGGTCGGTCATCTGACAGTTCTTGCACGCGACCTATTGTATTTTTTCGAATTGTTTGCTTCTTTACCAGAAATCCAGAATGACTTGGTGCCCTATTTGTAATCAATCATTTTACAACGTCGTAGCTAGAACTATCATTATACAGGGTGTATCTTAAATGATGAGTTTAATTTCAGGTGGTAATTCCTTGTCATATTTCATGACAAAAAGTTCATACATAATCTGCTCCGTTTCCGAATAACGGGATGTCCTGATGTCCAATGTTGAATTAAATATCGGTTTTTCATGAATTGTGTTTGTGATTTGTAATAGCTTCTTTTCATGGAAGTAGATTTTGAATTTTGTTTCCAGTGGTGTGTGATATTCACTGTAGTAACTATTGTACGCTGATGTTGTTGCTGAGTTTGATATTATTGGAAATTAATAGCAAAACGTTATCGTTATGCAATCAATGTCTGTGTTTCTCTGTTACTTTTTACTTTTTCATTAAACTTTGGACACCCCGTTACTCGGAAACGGAACAAGTTAGGACACACGTTTATAGTAACTTTTTGTCATGAAATATGACAAGGAATCACCACCTGAAATTAAAGTCATAATTTAAGATACACCCTGTATTTTATCAATTACACCCTTATGTCAAGTTATTGATGGGTCACCTTGTATGCATTATTGTTAGCTCATTATATCTATTCTGAGTCGAAAAATATGTCAGAATATATTGGGGCCTGGTACAGGCCCAAGTATCCACAATTTGCAAGTTTTCAAAATGTGCGTAGCTAGCACATGAACATTACATCGAATTACTTGCAAGCCTAAAGAATGAATAGGTTTTTTTCAGGTATTTTACTTGGTGGCTACATAGTGTGATCATTTTCGATATAAAAGACTATTGCCCTGATGCTCATGTAGGCGTTTTTAGATGTGCAGACATTTCAACATTAACTATTAAGTATAGGTAGGTACCTCTATATATTCAACCTTTTCATTCTTTCCTATAGATGAGAGAAAATCAATAATCAACGAGAGCTTTGATTGTGATTTTCTGACCAGCAGAAGATTCTGGAAGCATTAAAAATTGGTAAAGAAAAAAGAGAAACCAATGAATAGAATTCCGAAAAAGAAAAATTCAAACTAGAGCTTATTACACTCGTTGATAGTATAGTCACATTTATAGCGATGAGGAGGGAGAAAACCAGTAGGTATGGCATTTTCCGACAAGTTACCATCTGAAACGCATCAAAATAAAAAAGTTACTCAACAGAGACGTTTATACCGAACAATCAAAAAAGCTGTTCCTATAATAAACGACTTATTTAGTAATAAATTAATCCATCCAGATGATATGGACGCCGATAATATCGCAATAAATCTGATGTATCCACCAAAAAAAAAATTAATAAGTAAATAAGTTGTGTCGAGAGTTGTACTGTTTATTGTGTCAATTTTGTCCTGATATAAAAAAAAACATGTGAGGCCTTTGCAATGTTTAGCTCTCGCAATATAAGCATCTCATTCGGAAAGAAAAAAAAATACTTCGCATAATTTTTCCAAAACATTACACTCGATCAACTTGATACGCATGGATTATATGTTTTTAAATTTGGCGCGTGCTCTGCATCAGCGGCGACGTCCGACCATGATCGGACATCATCGGATGCAGAGAGCCTCCGGTGTTTATAGACGCTTGTCTGTGCACCCACGATGCGAGATCGAATCTTTTACGCGCCAACCCAAAGTCGACTTAGGTTAGATTGTTCTTTGGATTTCTACCATAATGAAGGTGGGCATGGTGGGAATTGGGCATCGTGGGAAAGTATGAAAAGTGGGCATGGTGGGAATCTGAAGAAGGTGGGCATGGTGGGAATTGGGCTTCGTGGGAATGCATGGGACATTATAACGTATTGAAAATTTCAGAAAAATCACTCGACCGCCTACTATGATTTCTCTACGTCACAACGAGCGAGACGTTGATTCTACATTTTCCCGCTAGATGGTGATGCTGCTATTGCTGCTCAAGGTTGGTAGAATCGATTATAATTTGTATACAAAATAATCATCAGTTCTACCAACCTTGTTGCTGCTGTGACGAGCAATATGGCAAATGGCATTTTAGGTACGCGAGTCTGTGACAATTTCAAAACTGACAGATGTCATAATTGTGCAATGTCGCCATCTATTAGAAGATCGACGGAACCATTGCTCTCGCTGTTCTCGAGAGGTCGAGTGAAATTTCTGAAACAAGTAAATACACCGGACACCCACCATATTATCTTACTTCCATCATATCATCGCTGTTCTGAAATATGCCTGAAATGGATATTGAAGAAGAATCAGAGGAAGTAGACTCTCCTGATACCATCGAAATGAATATTAAAGAAGAATCAGAGGAAGAAGACTCTCCTGATATCATCAATGTGAAGACTGAACTTTTTGATGATAGTCTTGATCAAACTTTTCAAGAGTTCAATTGCACAAAATGTCCTGAAAAATACAGGAATGAAATGTCATTGAAAATTCACCTAATGCTCCATCAGAACCATAATTATTGTTTTATTTGTAAGAAGACTTTGCAAAAAAACTTTCATAAACATTTGCAAATAAAGCATCTTGAATGTGAATGCTCAGTTTGTGGGAATGGATACTTATGGACTAAAAGCCTCAAGAAACACATATCTATTCACACAGGTGATGGGGGTTACGTCAGTTGTGACCAATGTGATAAATTATTCAGGCAAAATAGTTCCTTGAAGAGACATGTTCAGTATATTCATCAAGGAATCAAACCTTTTGTGTGTGAGGTGAGCTTTACAGAAAGTTTTAACATGTATCTAACACAGCTTGAGCCACAGCATGGCCACAGCTGATACCTGATATGAAATAACTTAACTACCTGTTGATTTTATATTGATCATTTCAAGACTTTCATTCATTTTTAAAATAACATACATATCTGCATACCATATTTATAATAATATACATTTTTTTAATAATATAAACATGGTCAAAAAAGTTGAAAACTTGTCTATGATCATGTAATATTTTTTTCCTTCCACTGACTAACTGAAATTTATTTTCTCATTGTTCTCATGTTCATATAATCTTGAAATAACTATAGAAAATATGAAATAATGTTGCCAAAGTATTTTATCATATAGGTAATCAAATTTCCAAAATTTCTGAAGTCTCAATCAACCAGGATATAATTTTCTTCTTGAATAAGAAAAAACTGATTTTTTTCAAAGAAGGAGGCAATTTATCCTATTTTTTTTTACCTGTATGAATGGCATGTTGTTGCATTAAAGTTGAAGAGAATTTCTCAGTTGATATCCAACCATCAATTTTATTTTTGGTGTCATATTTATGTTTTACATGATTACAGTTTTGTAAATGTTTTCTTATGTATATTGTTGATGTTTTATAAAACAATTGATCAGCAGAAAGAATATTATAATGCTCAAAGAAGATTTTGGAAGAATAATCAAATGGTTTTTGAAGATAATTGTAAAGGTATATTTTTGAATTGATATAAGTGGTTATATACAGGGTGGCCCACGGTCGATGGTACCTTAGACGTATACGGAAAACGGTACATTGGATTATCCTGAAAATTTGGTTACTCTAATAAGCGTTTGTGATCTAACGATTCAAAATATTTTCAGCGAAGCAGCGTTGCCACTGTTACCAAAAAATAGCATCATCTTTGTTATTTCAAATGGAACACCCTGT